TATATATATATATATATATATACTGTATATTCTGTTATAAATAATCATTACAACCATGCTGCTGTAAGTTTGTCTTTTATTTTGTAAAACAACAAGGTTTAAAAATACACTAAATGTGATATAAAGTCTCTATATAACTTGCATATGATCCCATCCACTAATTATAAGTAAGTGATTTGAGAGTAAAGCCAATTATGAGAGTCATATCATTATGAGATTAAAATTGTAATATTATGAGAATAAAGTTGTTAGGAAAGTAACATCAAAGTGATGTGGTCGAGAACAGCAAAGTGGAGCATGAATGTTTGTTTCTTCTGAATAAATTAAATTCTCTGCAACTACTGAAGTGTTCAGATAGTAATAATTACTGTGCTGATGCACCGCAAGACTTCTTTGTTTGGTAAATCCTCATTCAATTGATTTTTTTGTTGTTGCTGTAGCTGCAGTGGCCTATTCATTTTGTTATCACAACGCATCTTGTAATATTGTGATTGTTTTTTGTCTAAATATTTCTAGTTTATTCATACAACATTATGCTTTAAATCTCCTAAACATTTGATTTTATTGTCACAACTTTATGACTGTTCTCAAAATTGTGCTTCATTTTTATTTTTGAGGTACTAAAAAAAATCTGTCTGTATATAGGTCTTGTTATTGTCTATTATTCATAAAACTGTTGATTTGAACTTCCATAATTTCCATCATTTAGTAATAAAACCTACTGAATTTCTCAAATAATCATGATTTTCGTTTTAATGATAGATTAAGTAATGAAGCTGCCAAGTCCTAAACCCCAGACAGAGAGTTTGCACCTTATTGCACCTTTATTTAAAGGTGTTCCTCTTTCTTTCCCCTAATGGCCCTAAAGAAGATATATCAGGCCGTGACCTTCAAAAAGTTAACCTATAAAGATATATTAAGAATTTGATTTGATACATATCACATGCTGCGTAATACTAGACTGGCGGTAAAAAAAACTTATTGGCATTCCAAGATTCACAGGATCCTCAGCAATGCTTTTACAAGGCCAAAGGGGAAAGAAACAGTTATCCAACATTTGACAGATCACACATGAATAAAACTAAATTATGTGAGCCGTAAACTATTCTTTCTGCCTATCTTAGAACCAGAAAGATCTGACACAATAATCCGGTGCTTAGTAACTGTCTTGCTGAGGGAAAAGAAAATTTGAAATG